TAATTTGCGTCACTGACATCAGCTTGCAGCAACCAAATCTTGTCCTTGGTTTGCGACCTCTCGGTCTCCCAACTGCGTCATTTAACTGCCGAGTTCACACTCAAGTACCAGACATCATCTATCAAGTTCAAGCAGTCCCGGCCATCGGGGACAGTCTACTCCGTAGAGTACGACCACTTGAGCAGCAGCCATGGCTATGCCTTGGGCGCAGCCACTTTGTGCCTCGTTTTTCGCAATGCTTGTCGAGGCGTTTGTTGATACATTATCTGCTCTTTGCAGGGCCGGCCATTAATTTTCAATTTTTAATTTTTTACTCTCTCCCCCTCCAATGGCACGGCACCCATCCATCATCAGACCCTTCATGGCTTGAGAGGCTCAGAGCCAAGGGCCCAGGCCAACCATGGCGGCCCATATACCTCGGTACCCCATACTCCCGTACTCTCAAACATTTTACTCCGCCCCAAGGTACCTGTACTTAGGCAGGCTATGCACTTAGCCGGCCGTTGAAGCCTCCCAAACTCCAAATAAAGTAGAAAATAAGCTCCTTGGGGAGCAGGGGCCTAAATCCCCTAACCGTGTGGCTCATCGCTCCCAGCTCCCAGCTCCATTAGTCAGATTTGGCAGCATCGCTTTGATTCTGGATGAACTCGTGTCAAATGAGGCTGTGTCACCCCGTCACCACCCGTGCTCCGACTCGACTGTACATAGGTGCTCTTTTGGAACACGCACAGCCAGCTGCGAGTCTGTGACTTCCTAAAGCACCAACTGATCTATCATGTCGTACCAGACATCAAACCTTGACCGTCTCTGAGAATTCAAACGATTGCACCTTTCATAAAAAATGACCCAATGTTAACCTCATCGCACTGCCGTCGTCGGCCTGCAATGGATTCGTGCTATTACGTTTCTGTTCTAGAAATAAATGGCATCAGAGCCTTGAGTCACACCAGTTGGAATGGTTTAACCCTATAATTTTGCACTGCTCCAGAAAACAACCTCGCAGTCCCTTTTCTACTCTGCCATCTATTTTTGCAAATCCAACGGTGAGCCCATCTAAACAAACTTTCTACAGCCATGCTCATGTTAATAAGACAAATGAGCCCTTGCCTGACGCGATTCGCTAATCTATACCAATATGTATATCCCAATAAAGCAATTTCTTGACACCTCAGAGGCAACCCAGTGCTGTTTCCTAGTCAGCAAGCGTTCAACTCGGAATCTTGTGTCATCATGACAAACCTGCCGAATATGCCATGAACCAAGTCATGGATGCGCCTCCGTCAAGCCATTGAGGGTCAAAGTCTCGCGAGGTGAAAAACTCCCATGCCTTTTTTGGTTCAATAGTGGCATAATTACCGTAAATAATTCCTTTCCAGGCGTTCCGAATTCTGTCCACTCTCCCTTTGTCAAAGAATGCCTCCCATTCCTCCCTGACGAACCCTTGATCGCGTACGAACGGTGTTGCTGGCAAGATTGGTATCATGTGTATACCTTGGATAGCCTCAATGTTGGGATCAAAGTATGTCGTGTGATCAATTTTGTTCTCGAAAAGAATTCCCGCCACTTTGTTGCCGATAAACTGCTGCGGTTGCACTGTATTGTCTTTCTTGTACAAATAGTAGCTTTGCAGGCTCCGTGAAATAATGGACAGTTGTAGGTTTCCCCTAAATGCCCTGGTTAGCATTAACTTTGCTGATATTTTGCAATACGTCGCGACGTCAGCTTCACCTCATTTCGAGATCAGAGTTCTTACTGACTCTCCCCCACATTTTGAGCGCGTAGGCACACATCACGTCCTCAGAGCTAGACTCCTGGTCCTAAATTGACGTCAGATACATTGTGGAACAAGTGACTTGATGCGGGCAGCACACCTTGCCATCCATGGCGGCATAAAGACCATGAGCCCAGCTGTGACCATGATACCAGTCAAAGCTGCGCCATAAAGGAAAGAACTTGTCATCTTCACTGGGGTTTGCAACGTCGCGGACCAACAAATTCACGTAGTCACGGTTCGCATTGACCCATTCTGGATCAAGATATCCAATAGTAGCTGCGGCGAGGATATGGTAACCGTAGTGGAAGTGATGGTCGTTATAGTAGGTATTTCCGAAGTCAACTGCGTCGTCGCCCGTCTTGTAACTTGCTGACGAGACTATCCCTCCCCAAGCAGCTACAAAATCTTGCTGTCAGTAAGTACTCATAGCCATCAAACTCAAAATGGGATACTTGCTTTCGTGTACCAGGGGATACTTCTGCTTGTTGGCGGCAAAGGTTCCAAAGGCCGCTTCCAATTGACCTAACCCTGCTTTCGCCAATGCCTCGTCGCCCAGTAGTTCGTGAACAACATACAAAATTGTCGCGAATTTAACAAGCGCCTGGATGACCTCACTTAGATATTGAACATTGCTAATGGGATATAGGAAGTCTCACCTTTCCGCTGAAGTACATGGAGTCCAAGTTGGTTTGTGCGGCAATGTTTTGTGACAATTCCTTGGCGGCCGCAGCGCGAATTATACCTTTGGCCTCGCTGGATAACTCTTTCATGGACCCATTTTCCGGGTGCCAGGGGGCAAAGTCCATCTCTGTGGGCATATGACGCTCGACCATTGCCCATTCAGTACCCTTCACCAAAGTGGCAACACCTTTCGTGGTCGATTGAAGACGCACCTCCTGAACCCGCTTCATTGTTTCACCGTTGAAAGACGAAAGATGATGGGGTAAGGCAAACATATAAAGATGGCCTAGTTGGTGTCCGTTTTTCTGGAACTTGAAAGAGTACGAGCCCTCTTGCCCAAATACTGATCCTGATAATTCAAGTGTTACGGGATAGACTCCTGCTCCATCATCGAATAGATCTTCAGAGCCCTTGCTGCCGGGATCTTTGCAGACTTGCAGTATGCCGTAGAAAGGAGATTTTGATTCGGCCCTGTTGTTATTTATGACCTTCAGATCCAGCTCCTCGCCTTTAGTTCTCCATGCATATACCCTCCACGTTGTTCCATCTTCTAGGTGAAAGTTGTATTTTGTGACATGTTCCTTGGGATTGGTTGTTACGCGGCTGACAGCCTTGAAGAACACACCCGATTGGATCAAGGGCACCGAGCCATCAAATTGTGCCGTAATGTATGCCATTCCTTGGACCAATGGAAAAGATATGGCTGGTTGCGCTGTCTCGTTCTTGCTTAGATGGACCCTTGCAGAAAATGCTGTGATGCTGTCCATCGAAAGAGTTGTTTCCTCTCCAAGTTCCTTGGCGGATATAACCATTGACTGAATACCAATTGGGTTCAGATAAAAGGAAGAAGCCCCATCAAACTTCACTTCGCCGAATACTCTTTGGTGTTCCTCGATATGTGAACAAGACATTCCCCAACTAGCGCTTACACCCTTCCCGCCGGCCCATGCTACAGAATATGGGAATGTAAAACTCGGACATCTTTGGTCACCTAAGAAAAAATTGGAATAAAACTTGTTGGTCTGTAGAGGCGCCTGCGATTGAATTCCCTTGCGACGCACTGGATGATCGTTGCGGACAGGGATTCTGGACGGCGGCGCTTTGGTATCTACGGGCTTAGCAAATATGTCTTGTGATGCCATGGTGGAGGCTATTGCTTGGGTAAAATTCCTAAATATGCCCGTGGCCGTTGGTATTAGCAGAGTTGTTTGTGTCGAGGAAAGCTTGCTCAAGGGCCGTTCTCCTTTTTCTTTCCGTGAAGTGTTTAGGTATGTCACGATATTGCCTGCAGTAGGTGGCTTCTTGTAGCTGATGTTTGGCAAAGCATAGGTAGTAGTGCTCGATTCAGTAGGTGTCTTTACTCCCACAAATTTCGATTCTTTGAGATAATCTTTAACCAAGGTAGACTCTTGATCCGGATCCGGAGTTGTCGCAGATATGTTTGCTGGCAGGGATTCAAGAGTGGTTTCGATTTTCGAGAGTGTGGTGGATGCGTCGAAGATAACCGCTTTCTTACGCCAACGGTCAGTCAAATTGTTGTCTTTCCCTGGGAAATTTTGCCGAATTCCACTTTTTGAGGTCCCTATCGAGTTCGGATACCCTGAACTATACGTTAGCCAGGAAATCCAATGAACTAATACCATATGCAAGTTCATATTAAGTGCATTGCAAGTGAGAACAAGTTGCAGAATTGGTTTGATATAAAGTCCACAGGTCGATTGAATACACTGTACGGGCTGTTTAAGGAGACAGAGGTCTATAAAATGGAAATACCGCGGCCCTTTCACACAGCATTCCAGAGATATGTTGGGTGCCATGTTTCGTTGCTGCGGTATTGAATCACCCGCCCGAGCTAGCCAAATGACAGGAATGTGATTGTCTAGGGCAGAAACATCCAGATTTATCATACCTTGATAATTTGAATCAAATTGCCAACTAAGTAGAGGCTGGTGAATCCAATCAAGCACAGGTGAAGCGTTGTGAATCTTTAGGTGATAATTAATTATCCGTCTGTTGTCGTAATGCGATCAAGGTTGTGACAAGATGAAATGAAGCGGGGGAAAGGAAGAGGGGATCACGCACGCATATGCTTCCACTAGATTCACGGAAAGGGAACCAATCATGACCACGCAAGAAGAAATGCTGTTCTTTCTCTCGACCGTCAAGTTTGTCACCGTCAAATGTGGAAGGAGCAGCTAAACCTGTGGCTTTCGTGGCTAACTCGACTCAATGGAATCGTTGTAGTCCTACGCAAGCATCTACGATGCCGTATCTTGGTCCAAGTTCTTATATGTACCAAGATAATTTGTCCATTACAAGATTCAGGAGACAGTCTTAAATACATCCATCTCCAGCCACAGTACATGTTTGACCGCTCTTCGTCTGTTTCGAACAGGCCTGTTGTTGGGTCGGTCAACTTGACCAGAGGGCCAAGGAGAAGCAGGATGCTGTTGTCGAATCCCCCGATGGCCCAGTCTCTAACAAAGCCAAATCCGAGCAGAACTCATGTTCTCGATCCAAATTAACACCATAGACAAAAAGTATATCATAAACCCAAAGCGCTGTACTTTCCTTTGGCTGAGCCCTGGCGTATCAAGGCCTTTACTCTTGCTGCAGTATCAAGTTTCAGATTTGTCTTCTCTTTCGCCTTTGGTTTGACGGACTCGTGGCTTAAACCTGGGGCTAGCGTCTTTGCCTTTATTTGCCTTGTACTCGTGCTGGCCTCTGAATTGGCTGCAAGACGTTTCTTCTTTCTTTCTGAACCTGCTTGTGAAGCTTCGGCTTCTTTGCGGCAACGACGAATCTCTTTATCGGACAGGATCCAAGGATTATCAAGGACTTCATGGCGAAACTTCGATCTCCTTCCCCACATTTTAACCTCTTGAGCTGTACTTTTCACTATGAGCAGCTTCTCGATCTTTATCTGCTTCTCGTCCCTGAACGTAGACAAGGCGCCCTTGACATCGACTACATCGCCAACGTCTACGTTGCCATATGGCCCAGGCGGATCCAAGATATGGAGAGCACCGGGGTTTGCTGCATCACCAGCAGCCGTTCCAGGTTGGTATTGTAATTCTGCTACATTGTTGACCGGAGTGGGTGGTTGCATATTGATCAACGCTTCAATGCATTTTCCACTGCTGTCATCGATGGTGTAGACGCGTCGGCCATGGAACTCATCTATTGCCACAACTGGTCCGACAACTCGGACCCATTTGATGGGCAAATTTCTGTAGAAGAAAAAGTTTTCTCCTGTCATCTGCATTAGCGCCCGATAACTGCAGTGTTCTTGCGATGCTCACCTTCAAAGCCTGCGTGCTGCTTGAGGGCGTGAATGTCGGACACGCGAAGCAAACACCAATTATTAGCAGTCGGCGACAGGTGAAAGCAATAGCGTGGGTAAGGCAAGACCTGCGCTTGCTCGCTCATGGCATGATTGAAGCAAGTCTCACCCTTTGTGGAGGGTCATGAATCGAGCCCCCAAGCAGGTCAATGGTTATGTGTATGACTGGAATCAATGCCAGGGGCTTGATTGAAGACGGAAATGGAGTCGACGGTTAACGCTGGACAGGGCACCGCGCACTGGTACTTAAGTAGCACTGAGGTCTGCCATGGTTACTCAGGTGCCTGGCGCTGTTGGCCGCCCAAGCACACATGTGCAGGCTCCGCTCAGACTGCCGGCTGCCCAACCCCACTAGTCGATACCTGATGTGCTCACATGCACCCGTTAACTTGTACATGCACTGAGCACTTGGTAAGAGCCGGATTTCACGCAGCTGTGGTCACCGCTGAAACGAAGGGCCCCGAATCATATGGCCCCGAATCATTTGACATTCATTGATCATCGATGTTTCCACGCTGAATGGTAACACGCCGGCCGGAACGAATAACAACAAGTCAGGAGATTGAACTGTCCGTCTATTAAATTTCCATATTTGACAAAGCACAATTGCCCATGTCCTGTAACCCTAGCCTAAACCGTACTCCCTGGTAACCGATACCAAATAATGCATAACCCTTGACCCTATTTCTTGGACTTCTTCGCGGCCTTGCCGCCTTTTAACTTGGCGGCAGCGGCTTGAAAAGCCTCCTCTGAGGGCTCGACATCATCCATCGCTCGCTTTTTGCCCTTCTTTCCTTTACTACTATTAGCTCCATACTTCTCCGTCAGATGTTCCAAGAAGTCTGCAGATCTGTCTTGCTGTCGTTTCTGAATCAAGGCTGCCAGCGCATCTTCCGAGCTACCTTTTGACTTTGCGCCCTTCTTCGCAAACAACATGTCGTGAACGCCAATTTCCTTGGCATGATTCTCCGCCTCCTCTGCCTCAGCTTTTGCGGCCTTGACACGGGCTGCTCGCTTCTTCTTACTTTCCTTTGCGTAGGAGTCGAAGGCTGGCACGTCCTCCTTCGCAATGGCCTCGTCAATAATGTTGCGGAATCTCTCGTCATCTTCGGTGACATCACTCAGCATGACGCGTTCGTATATTTGGTCCATGTCGCCTTTACATTCTTCGTAGGCAATCAAAATATCATCTCTTTCCTCATCAGAGCCCTTGTATTTCTCGGCAAATTTCTTAATTGCGTCCGCAGATATTGAGTCTCTGAATTGTTCCCGATAGTAATCGCTCCAATTGAAGCCATCTGCGTCGACGATGGATTCTGATGTCGACCCGGTGGTGTCATATCGTTTGCGCCGCGCCGGGTCGGAGAGGACGGCGTAGGCAAAGGCAATTTCCTGGAACTTGGCGTGGGCCTCCTCTTTTTGTTCCCTCGTCACCTTGTCTGAGGGTTTCTATTTAGCATAATTAGGATGGCTGATGCGTGTACGTAAAGCTCACCAGGGTGGTTCCTGAGCGCTGCCTTTCGGTAGGCACTCTTGATTTGGTCTGCTGTAGCCTCGCGGGGGAGGCCGAGCACCTCATAGGGGTCAATGACGGGTGGCTCATTATCCACGGAATCCTCGACATCAGACATCTTCGATATCTTTATCCTGGTCCTCTGGTGTGAATCACAGAATGGAGCCGGGAAATTGTGTTGACATGGAGGGATGCAGTGTCACGCGTCAGGACGCGCCTGAGGCTCGGGGTGGACTGGAGGTTTAATGGGCGGGGCTCTGCAGGTGCCAGCACCAAAACCACCAGACTTTGTCAGTCCCGGAATCTAGATCCAATGTCTGGGTTGAGTGCAACCCTCAACGATCTAAGGCATAATAGTTTCGGCCCCCATGACTCGACAGACTCCCTAGTACCCAGCAGCATTATACTAATCAACAAACCTCTTTGCCCCTCCGCATCCCCCATCAGCTATGGCTTCAAGGACAGAACAGGATCACAAGACGCTCATGCGACGTGCCCTGGCATTAGCAGAGAAGTCACCACCAAAGCCGAGCAATTTCCGGGTCGGTGCCCTCTTGGTCAATCTTTATGATGGGCGAGTCGTCGCCGAAGGATACACTCTAGAATGCGACGGCAACACACACGCTGAAGAGTGCTGTTTTATCAAACTTGCCGAGCAGCACGCTACCAAGGAGGAGGGTCTAGTCGGCATCATCAAAACTCCTCACGCATTATATACGACCATGGAGCCATGTTTCAAGCGCCTCAGCGGCAAATTACCCTGCGTCGAGAGAGTTTTACGGCAAAAGTCGTGGATCAGGGAGGTTTACCTAGGTGTACAGGAACCAGAAAAGTTTGTCGGTCAGAACCCTGGCCGAGGGATGCTTGAATCTGCCGGCATCAAAGTTGCGGCAGTGCGGGGACTTGAGGACGAAATTCTCGAGGTTGCAACAGCAGGTCATGCATCTGATGCTTAATGTCAACAAGTCACAGGGACGGTGGTCTGTTCAATGTGGCAGCTGGAACTTGTTACGAAATGGGTTGGCTGACAAAAAAGGCACGGATGTCTAATCACGAATAGTCGTCCGCTTTGAATACACGCCTAGCAGATGCATACGAAGTACAGCGACTATTCAACGATGTATGCACAATAGGCTTCTCAAACGTCATTTACATGGGAATCGACAAGGATGTCTTATCACGAGGATGTTGAATATGACCGGGACTCTTCTTTCTCAATAGGCAGCCACACAGCTGCAACAGTTGTTCGGTACTGCGGTCCTACGTCACTATTTCCGCTGCTGTGAACCAGGAGTAAGCCTCTGCCTTAAGCAGGGGCGAAAAATCGGCCGCCGACTCCAGTAACTGTACCCTGTGATTTGCCTACAACGTCGGGGAAATGTTGGAGTGACTGAGAAGGCAACTCGATCCAGGGACAACTCGCAACACCATTCGGAAAACAGACATAGTGAACCATTTAGCAGCGACCCAACCCCAATTAGCTTGCCAAGGGGAGGCAGTATTGGGGGGAATCAGCTTTGGAGTCGTGTTTCACACAACCCCACCGCATTGCTTCGCTCCCATTTCCCCGCATTTCCGTTGAAGCGCCGTTGAGTTGAAGGGCGTGGAGGGAGCGTGGAGGGAGCGTGGAAGTGCGTGGGGATGTTACGCAGGCGTCTTGCTCGGGTCGTCTTTGTTTATCGTGGAGCTTCTAAGAGTCACTGGTCAAGCCTCATCTGTATAGCTCTTGTTGAAGGGTGCAGGGGATTTCCAATTTTGCCAAGACATCCGCCACTCCCGTGATCCAACACTGGTTGCATGAACCTATCTCGTGTCGATCTGTTGCAGATGGGAGTGTAGCATTTCTGCCACATCCCGACGGCCCCGTGACGTATACAACTACCACTACAACTTTGGCCATTAGTACTTCATTGGAGACATTTCGTATAAAGTCTTTGAATCCAGGAGGCCTGAAGCTCGGTATCACTTCCTCTTTCTTATCTGCGTCAGAATTTGGGTATGCTTTGTGTTTGAATCGTCCGCCAACATGTTTGAACAGCCTGTTGTGACATTTGAGTCGGGCCAAGGATTCAGTCTCATTGGTGCAGACATCCTTATTGATCCTGATGAGTTTGAAGGAGTTCACATTGCAGCCAAGAACCTATCCAAAGACTTTACTAGAGTCACTGGCCAAGGTGGCAATGCAGTTCTGACCACAGCAACTGACCGCGTTGAGTCTAAATCTTGTATTATCGTGGGGACGCTGTCAAAGTCAGCAATAATCAAGAAGCTAGGATCCGACGGGAAAATTGACTTTTCCAGTATTGATGGAAAATGGGAATCCTGGGTCACGCAATGCGTGTCCAATCCAACCGAAGGCTATGACAACGCCTTGGTAATTGCCGGCAGCGACAAGAGAGGTGCTATTTACGGCATATACTCTCTGTCCGAACAGATTGGCGTCTCTCCGTGAGTTTTCAAAAGACCGAAGATTTGAGGTTTTTGTGTTTCTTACATCATGGCAGATGGCATTGGTGGGCGGACGTTCCCCCCAAAGTTCATGACGAAATTTATGCTCTCCCTGTGTCAACCCGCAACGGCGAGCCAAGCGTCAAATATCGAGGCATTTTTATCAATGATGAAGCACCAGGGATGGACTCCTGGGTCCACGAGAAATTCGGCCCCAAGTTTGATTCCAACTTCTACCACCTCGTGTTTGAGCTACTCCTTCGGCTTAAAGCCAACTTTATGTGGCCCGCCATGTGGAGGGGATACCCGTACCCGGGCAGATCATTCTTCGTTGACGATCCCAAAAACCAGGCTCTTGCCGACAGTTATGGGATAGTAATGGGCACTTCTCATCACGAACCAATGCAACGCGCCATGAACGAATGGTCCACCACACAGCCAGAGAACACTTGGAATTGGGAGACCAATAAGGAAAAGGTCACAGAGTACTTTAAATTTGGTGCAGAGAGAGCACGACCCTTTGAGTCGTACATCACGATGGGCATGCGAGCAGAAGGTGACAATCCTATTAGCGGCAGTGACCCTAAGAAGATCCTTACAGAAGTTCTTGATGTTCAAAGAGGTATTATAGAGGAAAATTACGGGAGCAAGGGCGGTGTGATGCGTAAGTTGACGCCCTTCATGTCGTAGTAGCTGGCGCTGATTTCCGTGGAAGAATTGATGGCACTATACAATGAGGTGCAACAGTATTATGACGATGGGCTGGAGATCCCAGAAGACATCACACTTCTTTTCTCTGACGATAATTTTGGCTCTCTGCGCCGATTGCCGAATGAGCAAGAGAAGAAGCGCCCGGGCGGCTCTGGAGTAAGTACTTCTGACGACACACTATATAAATTTCCTAACGTTGGTTCGACCAGTACTACTACCACTTCCAATACACGGGATATCCTCGATGCTATCGGTGGATGAACAGCAACACGCTAGTAAGCTTACATTGTCGAGTACGTAAAATCAGTGTTGTGTTAACATGACATTTAGGGGAAAGCATGGCACCAACTACAACTAGCACATGCCGAAGGCGCAAATCGCATCTGGGTCTTCAACGTTGGCGATCTCAAGCCTTGCGAAGTGCCCATGAGCTTTGGGTTTGACCTTGCTTGGAATGTCCATTCCATCAGCGCCGACTCCTTTCCCCAATATTACGAGGAACTAGCAACGCGAGAATTTGGGCGCAAACACGCCAAGGGTATCGCTAAGGCCTGGTACGACTTTGACCGTCTTGTCGCACTCCGGAAACAGGACCACATCGATGTGAACACATTTATTCTGCTCAAGTACCACGAAGCAGACAATATTGTCGCGCGTTGGAAGACTCTGCTGCAGGATGCGAAGACAATCAACGCCAAGATAGACAAGGAGTACAAATCTGCCTTCTTCCAGCTGGTTCTCCACCCTATCAAGGCATCCTATCTGTGTACCTTGCTCCGAGTAACCCAGTATAGAAACCAACTGTTTGCCAAGCAGCGTCGAAATACTACAAATGTGCTATTCCACCGAAGTCTCGAAATCCTCAACAAAGACCATGATCTTATGATGGAATACCACACTATTAACGGTGGCAAGTGGAACCATATCATGAGACAGCCGCACTACGGATACGGAGATACTGGTGCTCAACCGTCAAGAAATATGATTGACGGCCTATGCTACGTCCAGACTAGAGAGGATTCCAACCCCAGTGTTGGGCATATGGGCATTGCTGTGGAAGGTATTGAAGGCATCAATCCCGGACATATCAATGAGGACTCGGACCGAACTCATCCATCCCGCAAGTGGCTGGAGCCGGGAGTGACTCTCCCCTTTATCACTCCGTACGGCCCGCAGGACCGGTATTTTGAAGTGTTCCACCGCGGAACAAAAGCGTTCTCCTGGGTCGCGAAACCGCAGTACGACTGGATCAAGCTCACTCAGTACCAGGGCCATCTCAAACCTGAAGATGACGATACCAGGGTGGTTCTCACTATTGACTGGACGCAAGTCCCCGCAAATTTTGATGAAAAGGTGTTCATCGAAGTCTTTGGTTCTCGAGATGGCTACGAAAAAGTCCACTTGACTGTGCGCCATAGTCGGGTCCCTGCCGACTTCACTGGCTTCGTTGAAACGAGCGGCCACCTCGCCATCGACGCAGGCAAATGGGCTACATCCCCATATCAGGCTCTTCCAGCCCTAGGCCGCACCGCTGCAGGGTCCGTGACTTTACCAATTGGCACCGACCTGAGCAATCCCGACAACATTCCGTTCCTGCGCTACCCAATATATGTCCTCTCTGATCGCGACAACGCCAACCTCGAGCTGCAATTCAACATGACTCTAGAAACCGACCCGCAGAGCCGCATGGAGTATGACATACGCTGGGACGGCGGAGAAATCAAGCGATACCGCCTCACTGACGACGATCCCGGTAATGACCGCGGCCTCCCGCGAGACTGGAACGTGGCCGTCATGGACTGCGTCTGGAAAAAGTCCCATAACATTGGGCACGCCACAGTCGGCGCTCACACCATTGAGGTGCGATTCCGCAAGCCCAACATGATTCTGGAGAAGCTCGTCCTGGATCTTGGGGATTTGCGGTACACGTACTTGGGCCCCCCTGAGAGCGAGTACGTCGAGGGCACCAGCCGCGCAGCCACCTGCATTAGACACAACGATCGGCTAAGCTTGGATTTGAGATATTAATCTGTTGACATCTCCGTGTATATTCATCTCTTTTGTTTTTAACTTTGGTCAGTCATTCCCGGAAAATAAAAGATGGATACTCGCTAGAAGAAACAATAAACCCTATTTGCTGCTTCCTTCATTCCCATGCCGTAGCATTGTTGAGCAACAGGCGTCATCGCCGTGACAGGTAGAATATTTGCCGAGGTTTTCAGGCATATACAGTATTTTATACTCGTACAACTACGGCATAGGCCTCTTCTCTGCTTTACTCAGCATAACCAGTAATTCAAGCATTAAGAGCAGCAACAGCGTCTGCATATTAATTTAAAACTCTAGTCCGGTAATGACAGCCGTGTAACCGTGAGTACTATTATCCCAGAAGCCAGCCCGGCGCCGCAGTCATCAGCACTAATTCCCAATTACGTCAAACAACCTCAACCCACATTGCAACTCGCACCATTACTTTGAAGATTCCGCAGCCTTGGGCTCCTCCTTCTCAGCGCGTGCCAGTTTCAAAATCTCATGCCCCCCAATGATCCAAAATTTGTCGGGCGCCTTGTTCTCGCCCGCCAGCTGGGCGGCCCTGACAGCCGCCCTGGCAATAGCATCGGCGTCCTGCCCCAGGGCATCCTGGAAGCCGCTGCTGAGCTTGCCCAAGCCCCTCACGGCGGCTTGCGCGAAACCCTCTGCGGCGCGGCTGGTCTCGCGCTCCCCCAGGATCATACCGGGCCGCAGGATAATGGCGTGGTCGAAGCCGAGCTCCCTGACGGCATCCTCCACCCCCTTCTTCATCTTGCTGTAGGGGGCCCAGCCGGACAGGAGGCCGTCGGAGCCGGCGCTGGAGATGAATACAAACGTGGCGACGCCGGCTTCCTTGGCCGCCCTGGCCAGCTCGATGTTGAGGTCGTGGTCAATCTTGCGCTGGTTCTCGAGACCGCCGGCCTGGGCGCGCGTGGTGCCCAGGGCGGAGAAGACGGCGGCTGGGGCGGGCGAGAGGCCGGTCAGCGCGGCGGCCCATTTGGTGGTGTCGGCGTCGACGATGGAGCTGAGGTTCGGCGAGGAGGGCTTGGGGGCGCGGCGGGTGATTGTGTGGACGGGCTTGTAGATGTCGCCGGCTAGGAGGTTGGACAGGATGTGCGAGCCGACGAGGCCGGTTGAGCCGATGACGGCGGCAGACATGGTGATCGAGTACTCGGGTATGGAGGTGGTAAAAATCAGTTCGGCGAGAGGCTTGGATGGAGGATCAAAAAGGCCAGGTTGAGGCGGCAATAGATGGCCGAGTTGTGGGCAAGCTCAAGCCCGTGTCTGAGGTTAAGCTCCCAGAGCTTAAGTTACTGTGACATCTGCCGAGTAGCTTGGGAGGCAAGAGCGGAGTTGGCGGGAGCTAATTCAAGGCGGGACGGAAGGCGCGGCGCTGCATACCTGCCTCCTTAGGCACCTAGGTGGGTACTATATATAGAGGGTACTAACACACAAAGTTATGTGGCGTGGCCATGCCCAGTTTTTGGTGCGGCGGGACATCTAGACTGTCTCGTGCATTTCATCGAGTGCCACGACATACACAACACGCAATGGCCAGTTCAGCAGGGCTAAATAACTGACAAGTTCCGATTGCGCTTGGTAAAGGGATGCAAATACTCCGTACAGACGACTTATCTATGGCCTGATTTGACATTTGGATCTCACAAATAGTATGAACTTGTTGTTGGCAGCGGAATCTAGCCAATCGCCTTACACGGCTGCTCGCACAGGCCATCCCTTTTCGAATTTGATGTATCCATCACAAGGATCGTGGTAGTACAGGATGTGTCTCCAAGATTGTTTCCCTTCACCTTTGCTTTCTTTCTCTTTTCTCCTCTTTCGTTTCGCCTGCCTTCTCTATTCACGGCAGGCTCCGCGAATTAATCTGCAGAAATCGACGCTGCCGGAGCCAGAGGGCAAACTCACCCGTATAAGTAGAACGGACAAGATATTGATCATGCTTATCGCTAGGGCACAAAGACTCATGGGATACAAACCGTGACCAAGGATATTGCTTCGGTACACAGAGCGGGCGTAGAAGTCAAACTTGTTTCAACAAGAATAATTTTAGACTTTATGCTTGAACGATACTCGTATCATGCTTGTAATTTCACTTGGCTACAGAGCGAAACAATACACAAGTTAGTATCAACAAGAATAAGGCGACTGGCCCAGAGCGCCAACTCTACGATTCCTGCTTCATCTCCTGCAAAGTCGACCAGCGCAATCGCATTGACGGGGAAAAGCACACATGCTTCGTGAATCAAGCACCTCAAACTCCTCCTCATCTTACGGCCGACCGGCAATATCGGCACGCCCACGTGCTGAGAAGACGGGACGCTTGTGGATGCGGCGCGACCCTTGCCAAACCAATTCTTTAGCTTGCATCTTCCGGTCCCGAACTATACATATACATACATACATACAAGCATGTAATTTGGCATCTCGTGCCCATAATAACCGGCCGCATGGGACCAAACTGGACCAAATTGCAACAACTTGAGTGTCGTCCGTAATATGCAGTAGAGTAACACACACATGTCCCTGGACATGTCAAATCACGTCGCCAGCCCATCGCAATGCAGCCATTACATATGTATGACAACTGCACGTGTCGCGCACACGCAGGGAATTCGACGCGTAGCTAAATCCGGGACCGTGATGATTGCTAGTCTCTCTGACAACGTTGCCGATATCCGGTACATGGTGCCATCGTCCCTGGTCTAATAGACTTAGCCGGGCCGTTATCAGTCCAATATCCAGTTTGTATCTTCCCAGCCGGTATAAGAAAGACCAGTCCGGGGCGCCAGTCTGTCAAAAATCGCTTTCTCGCGCGTTGTCTCTCCGACTCTGGTCTCTTGACAAGTGAGGCCCTACTCAGCCGACGCAAAAGACATCATGAAGATCGCCGCCGCCGTCATTGTCGGCTCAGCCCTGGCTTCTTCTGCCCAGTCTAAGCCTACAGCTGACGAGAGATACCCGTACAATGGCCCCGATGTCCCCATTGGAGATTGGGTCGACAAGACTGTCGAGGGAAACGGCAAGGGATTTCCCCGTCTGGTCGAGCCGCCTGCTGTGAAGCCTGCCAAGGCGAATCCCAGCAACAACGTCAATGTCATTTCTCTTTCCTATGCGGGCAACGGGGTCAACATTCATTACCAGACTCCCTTTGGTCTCGGCGCCTCCCCTTCCGTGGCATGGGGAACGAGCGCTGGCTCATTGACCAGCATTGTTACTGGATCGAGCCGCTCGTAGGTTTCTTTCCCGAGCATCAAACCATGCCAAATCCAGCATGTCGTGACTCTTCTTGTGCTCTTCTTACACGAATAGGTATGGCCGCACTCCGCCGTGCTCTCGGGTGGCCGTCACCCAATGCAGCCAGTTCTATCATGACGTCCAGATCCGCAACCTCAGCCCCGACACAACCTACTATTACAAGATCCCTGCCGCCAACGGCACCACTGCTTCCGAGGTTTTGAGCTTCAAGACTGCCCGCGAGGCCGGAAGCAAAAGGGCCTTTACTGTCGCCGTCCTCAACGACATGGGGTACACCAATGCCGGCGGCACTTTCAGGGAACTCAACAAGGCCGTCGACGAGGGAGTCGCGTTTGCCTGGCACGGCGGCGACATCTCCTACGCAGACGACTGGTTTAGCGGCATCCTGCCCTGCGCAAGCGACTGGCCAGTGTGCTACAACGGCACCGGCAGCGAGCTCCCCGGCGGCGTTACGCCCGACTATGAGACTCCCCTTCCGGCGGGCGAGGTTCCCAACCAGGGGGGTCCTCGGGGCGGCGACATGAGCGTGCTGTACGAGTCGAATTGGGATCTTTGGCAGCAGTGGATCAACGGCATCTCCATGAAGGTGCCGTACATGGTTCTGCCGGGAAACCACGAGGCTGCGTGTGCGGAATTCGACGGGCCGGGTCAGCTGCTGGCTTCGTATCTGAACAGGAACGAGCCCAACAGCACGTCGCCCAAGTCCAACAAGTTGACGTACTACAGCTGTCCCCCGTCACAGCGGTAAGCAAGCCTGGGCTTCATCGGATTCGACCTCGGGCGGTTGACAAAGTGGCTAACCGTGGGAGGAAAGAAACTACACTGCCTACCAGCACCGCTTCCGCATGCCCGGCCGAGAATCCGGAGGCGTAACCAACTTCTGGTACTCGTTCGACTACGGCTTGGCCCACTTCATCTCCTTCAATGGCGAGACGGACTATCCCTACAGCCCCGAGTGGCCGTTTGCGCGGGACGTCAGGGGTGGTGAGTCCACGCCCAAGGAGAACGAGACCTTCATCACCGACAGCGGTCCATTCGGCGCTGTTGACGGGAGCATCTACACCAAGGAATCGTACGAGCAATACCGCTGGCTGGAGAAGGACCTTGCCAGTGTCGATAGGGAAAAGACACCATGGGTCATCGCCATGAGCCATCGACCCATGTACAGTTCACAGGTGTCGGCGTACCAGAAAAACATGCGGGATGCGTTCGAGGGCCTGTTCTTGAAGTACGGTGTTGATGCGTACCTGTCTGGGTAGGTTCAAACCATGGAACCGCGATCCATGTGAATAGCAGCTGATTTTAATCCCCCATCAAGCCACATTCACTGGTATGAGCGAACGTTTCCCCTCGGGAACAACGGCACCATCGACAAGGCCGCGATTATCAACAACAACACGTACCGCACCAACCCCGGCAAATCCATCACGCACATCATCAACGGCATGGCTGGCAACATTGAGAGTCACAGCACTCTTTCCAAGGGCCAGTCTCCGCTGAACATTACCTGCGTGCTGGACCAGTCACATTACGGGTTCAGCAAGCTGACCATTCACAATGAGACGGTGCTGACGTGGTCGTTTGTCAAGGGGAGCGACGGGAGCAGCGGCGACGACTTTACCCTCGTCAAAAAGGGGTCCGGTTCTGGCGGCCGCAATTCGACTATGACTTCTCAGTCTGTTATTGCTGCCACGGATAAGACGACCGGCACAAGCACAAGCACCGCTGCTGCGGGTGGCATCACCACCGTCACCGAGGTGGTCAACTCTTATACCACCTACTGCCCTGGCTCGACGACGTTTACGCAAGGTCCCAGGACATATGTTGTGTCCGAGGTAAGCAAAACTTGCGTATCGACTTCCAGTTCCATTGACGTTGATGGGTTTTTTCAGGCGACTACCTTGACGATTACCGACTGTCCTTGCACTCTGACGCACACCAAGTCTCTGCCAAGGTATGCTCGTTTAACCAGGCGCTAAAAAATACAATCGCTGATGGGATAATTAGCGCCGGCATTTCACCCGCCGTCATCTCCGGCAACAGAACGGCTGCTCCGTCCGGAAACGTCCCCGACAAAACCGAGGGCGGCTCGAGCCTTGCGCATCTCACATCCGGAGGTCAGCAGCCTACTCCTGCAGGACCTACATCCAGCCCAGTGGGAGCTGCGGGCACGACTGCTTCCGTGTTTGTAGCCCAGGGCGGTCGAGTTGGTGCGGATGCTTCTCTTGTTGGATTTGTAGCTCTTGCTGCGGCTGCGGCTCTGATGTAGGCAACGAGAGGTTGTTCTTCAAGGCGGCATTCCTTGACGTGCAGTTTCGGCGGTGATTCAACAAGAGCCTCGAATTGTGTAGTTTGTTTCAATAAAAATGCATAATGGCAGTGAGCTCTAACAACGGATGGATGTAATGTGCAAATTCGACCATGTGGCTCCTAGATAGAGGCGAACTTGTACTTGCCCAGGGAACCGACATGGTGCGGGACCCTGAAAGCACCCGCCGCCGCCGCCGCCCCCACCCGACACGACGTCAAGCTGCTCGGGAGCTCCTTCCCTCCGCCTCCAAGCTCTCAGCTAGATGTAACTACACCGGACGACTTGCGACGCCCGTCGTCTGCCTACTGCCGACCCCAACACGAGCACCAACGGCCACCATCTCACGATTCCCCTTCCCAACCCAAACCACCATCCCACCCGCCGCCCATTCACTCGCTCTGCAAGTCCGAAAAAAACCACCCATCACGCCGCAGCCATGGCAACACAATACGAGGGTAAGTGCTCCCCCCCCCCCCCCTCCCCCTCCCTCCCCCCCCCCCTAAAAAAAAATGGTCGGAGTTGTTCCTCCCACGAGACTAAACAGCCCACCAGTCGAGCACAACGTCCAGTTCGCAGAGACGCAGCCGCGCTCCCGCCGCGTAAACATGGACTCGTTCTTCTCGCTGCTCAACCGCGTCAGCGACTCGGGCACCGCCACCCCGCACAACAACCCGCACGCGACGCCCACGCTGCCCGACATGGCCAACATCTTCCGCCTCCTCCAGGACCAGATGCAGACCCTGGCGAGCACGGCCCCGACCGCCGAGAACCGCACCTTCCTCATGGACCTGGTCGACACGCTGGACGGGGACATCCTCGACCCGCCCGACCGCCTGCGCGGCGTCGGCCAGGAGTTCCTCGACGCGCTGGACCGCGTGGGCCGCAAGACGCTGCGCGCCGACGACGACTGCGCCATTTGCAAGATCCCCTACCTCGAGGACCCGTACTGCCTTGTCGTGGAGCTGCCGTGCAAGGGCGCCCATCGGTTTGACCTCGAGTGCGTCGGGCCGTGGCTCAGGAGCAAGGGCACGTGTCCCATGTGCAGGGAGGAGATGGGCAAGAAGAAAGTTGCTGCTGTGCAGGAGGACGAGGACGAGGACGAGGACGACATGGACATGATTTACGCGTAGAACGGGGTTGGATGCGGATATTTGGCGTACGGAGTGTGTTTTACTGCCTTGAGTGTGAAATAAAAAGTATTGACGTCGTCGTCATAGTATATATATAAAGAGGAGGGGGGACAAGATACCACGCTTATGAGATTTTTTTGCTTTAGTGAAGCGCCGTATATTGGCAGTCTATCGAGTGGTACAGCCACAAGTTTTGGCAAGTCGTGTATAACCCCCCCTTCTTAGTTGCCCTCAATTTTCTTCATCGTTTCCAAGGCCTTCTGCGCCTTCTCCTTGGCCGCTCCGCTCCCAGCCGTAGCACCCAAAACTCCAATCCTCTCGCGCCAGAAATTCCACCGGTCGCTGCTCAACCCCGAAGCCTCAATCTTGAGCAAAGATCCAGGCTTCAAGGCCCGCTGTTCCATCGCGTCCAGTTGCTGGGCCTGCCGTCCGTTGGCAAACAGCTCCTTGCCGGCGTGAACAATCCACTCGTATGCCGTGGCGATCCTCGTGTCCTTGGCGTTTGGTCGATCCTCGGGTGGTTCTTCCAGGCCAGAGCGCAGCTCCCAAATGCCCAGATTCACCCACGGCTGCAGCGAAGCGCCGTATATTCTCGCCGCAAAGGAGTTGAGCGAGATCCATTCCTGAATGGTGGCATTGTCCTTTTCTGAGCCATCGAAATCGGGAGACACTACAACCACCGGCTGTTAACTACGATGCGCTTTGATTCAAAGAAGAAGGGGGGGGATACACACAATTCCACTCGTCTCTCATGACGGGTCCAAGCATGGGCAGTTCACTCCAAACTCGCGTCTTCTGCCCCCACATCTCAACCTCTTCGTCGCGCTTGTTTTTGAGCTTCCCGACGGTCGTGACGAGGAGCTGCTGACGGGCATCATCGGCGGGTATCTTCTTGGCCACGGCGACGAGGAGCGTCCAGAAGCTCCAGAGGAAGCCTTCGGCCGCGGAAACGTCAGAGGGGTAGAGCTTGTCGATCTCGCCGGCGGTGGTTTCGGCCGAGAGCTCCGTGGGGGCCAGCTCGTTGATGGCATTGGAGAGGATGGATATGATTTTAGGCTCATACTCTGAGGAGGAGTCCTTGTTGAGCGAGCTGATGTCGATGGGGGGAGGCATGGTTGGCGGTTGTGTGGCGCGACGGCGACGTTGGAATGACGATGGCGGGGCTGAAGCTATCGGAAACGGAGGGGCTCTGTTGGATGTTGATGGTCGTGTTTGAATGGGGGTAAAGGAAGGAAATGGTTTCGTATAGAGCGTGGGGGATAGAAGATTGAAGTTGGAGTCGTTTTGTGTGTGTATCGCACCACGAACGAGCCACGCCGCTTTCTTTGTTCGTTCCAGTCGGATGGAGGACAAGAGAGATGGTGGGCAGCACATGTTGCAGCGTAAACTGTGGCGTGAGCTGCGTCACTGGCTGACGGGAGGCCTGGAACGAAGGCCTGGATGCGGGGCAGCTTCAATCGGGAGGCGGAAGGACAAGTCTGTTTGATGCATGTGGATATAGTTTGTCCCGCCCGGCTGCTGGGGCGCTTGGCAAACAAATACATCTCTTTAGTTGCGGAATGGCTCATGGAGACTCGCTTACCTAAGAAATTTGTATGGGAGTGGAGTTCTCCACGAGCCATTCCGCAACTAAAGAGATACTAGTCTAGTCTGGTCAAGTAGTATTTATTAGAAACTGCACATTCACCTTGTTCCCGCGTCGAAAACGCTGTCGTCCTGGCTTCTAGAACAGAAACTCCCTTTTGTCTGCTAAGAGCTGGTACCGTTGACCTCTTCTTCCGCACAAGCCACCATTCAGCGTGTCTGCCACGCCTGTCCGACCACATCCGACGTTTGAGCCACTCAGCAATGCCAATGGCCGATATCCACCACAGCTGGTCGTCCACGCCGTGGGAGCGGCAGCATCACCTTGCAGTGCCCATGTTGCACAAGTCTCGCGTCCCCTACACACGTCCGTCCAACAGTCTCCAGCACGTCCATGTCTGGGTCCCGACCAAGTATGCACCGGAAGAGCCCAGAGCCCCCTCGCCGTCGTGGCTCCCTCCCCCCGACACCACACTCTGGATCATCTACATCCACGGCGGCGCCTGGCGAGATCCGCTCGAGACGGCCGACGACCTGGCGCCCACGCTGAAGAGCCTCTCCCCGGCCTGGCTCGCCTCCCGCGAGGCACCCGTCGCCTTCGCCTCGGTCAGCTACTCTCTGTCGCCGTACCCGCAGCACGCGACGCACCCGAGCGCGCCGTCCGACCCGAGCCGCAATGCCACGCACCCCAGGCACATCCTCGACGTGCTTTCCGCCATCTCCTACCTCCAGAGCGCCGCCGGCTTCGGGAGCAACTACATCCTGGCGGGGCACAGCTGCGGCGCCACGCTGGCGTTCCAGGCCGTCGTGAACCCGGCGAGATGGGGAGTCGACCCGGACACGGCACCCGTCCAGGCGCCGCAGGTGGTCCTCGGCCTCAACGGGCTCTACGACATGCCCAAGATGGTGGCGCGCCCGGGCCATGGCTACCGCCAGCACCGCGAGGTCTACGAGCAGTTCACGAGGGGCGCCTTTGGCGACGACGAGCGCGTGTGGAGGGCCGTCAGCCCCGTCTACATAGAGGACTGGGCGCGGGAGTGGCCCGGCGGGAGACACGCGCTGCTCGTGCAGAGCCGCGAGGACACACTGGTTCCGTTTTCCGAGGCCGAGGCGTTGGAGGCGAGCCTGTTGAAGTCCAAGGGCGAGCGGCTGAGCGTCGAGCTGGTCCAAGGGCGCGGCGACCACTATGACATCTGGAGGCAGGGCACGTTGTTTGCGGAGATGCTGACGCGAGCCATTGACGTGTCGGGACTGTAAGAGTTGTCCTGTATTCATAATCGCCCCCGAAGGCAAAATGAGAAGAAGAGAAAAGAAAGTATTCCACATCCATGACCGAGTATAAACCGCCGCACATACATGTCTTGACAAGAAGAATCCTCGGCGTAGAAACAAAAAAAACACCGCCATCCGATCATGCAATGGACATCTTCATGCCGCCGTTTGCGCAAACCACGCTGCCGGTAGTCCAGCCCGCCTCCTCCGAGCACAACATGTCGATGGTCCCGGCAATCTCCCCCGTGAGGCCGGGCCTCCTCCCCGCCATGCCCTCGCGCACCGTCTTGTCGAACCTCGCTGCGTCGTCGCCCACCGCGTCCAGCACGCCCCTGTCCCCGTGGTACGCGGCCAGCGGCGCCGCATCCACGTACGGCTGGTTGATGCTCCAAAACGCGCCGCCTGCCTGGGCGTACATGTCCCCCCACGCCGGGCCGGGGTTCACCGCATTCACCGTCGCCCTCTCGGCCAGCTCCCTGCTCCAGGTGCGCGTCATGGCCTCGACGGCCGCCTTGCTCCCCGCGTACACCGACTGGCCCTGGTACCCGATGGACGAGCTGACGCTCGAGACGTTGACGATGCGGCCCGAGCGGTCGGTGGGCAGGAACGGCGCCGCGGCCTGCGTGAGGAGCAGCGGCGCGAGCACGTTGACGGCGTACACGCGGCCGAACTCGTCGGCGGTGATGGGGCCCAGCGCCGCGTCGTTGAGGTGCTGGTTGGACGCCACGCCGGCGTTGTTGATGAGCGTGTCGATCTGGAACGTGCCCGAGGGGCTGTAGGCGGCAAAGAGCGCGCGCGCGGCGGATATTATTTGCGGCGCGGCCGCGGACGGGTCGGAGAGGTCGGCTTGGACCGAGGCGCACCGGACGCCGTGCGACGTCGAGAGCTCCGCGACGAGGGCCTCGGTGCGCGCCTTGGAGGACTCGGATGTGTATGCGAGGACGAGGTTGGCGCCCTTGGAGGCTAGACGTC